CCAGCAGCTACAGTAGGCTACACACCTCTGTCTGAGTCTTTACCAGCAGCTACAGTAGGCTACACACCTCTGTCTGAGTCTTTACTAGCAGCTACATTAGGTTACACACACCTCTGTCTGAGTGTTTACCAGCAGCTACAGTAGGTTACACACCTCTGTCTGAGTCTTTACCAGCAGCTATAGTAGATTACACACCTCTGTCTGAGTCTTTACCAGCAGCTACAGTATGTTACACACCTCTGTCTGAGTCTTTACCAGCAGCTACAGTAGACTACACACCTCTGTCTGAGTCTTTACCAGCAGCTACACACCTCCGTCTGAGTCTTTACCAGCAGCTACAGTTGGTTACACACCTCTGTCTGAGTCTTTACCAGCAGCTACACACCTCTGAGTCTTTACCAGCAGCTACACACCTCTGTCTGAGTCTTTACCAGCAGCAACACACCTCTATCTGAGTCTTTACCAGCAGCTACAGTAGGCTACACACCTCTGTCTGAGTCTTTACCAGCAGCTACAGTAGGCTACACACCTCTGTCTGAGTCTTTACCAGCAGCTACACACCTCTGTCTGAGTCTTTACCAGCAGCTACAGTAGGCTACACACCTCTGTCTGAGTCTTTACTAGCAGCTACATTAGGTTACACACACCTCTGTCTGAGTGTTTACCAGCAGCTACAGTAGGTTACACACCTCTGTCTGAGTCTTTACCAGCAGCTACAGTAGGTTACACACCTCTGTCTGAGTCTTTACCAGCAGCTACAGTAGGTTACACACCTCTGTCTGAGTCTTTACCAGCAGCTACAGTAGGCTACACACCTCTGTCTGAGTCTTTACCAGCAGCTACAGTAGGTTACACACCTCTGTCTGAGTCTTTACCAGCAGCTACACACCTCTGTCTGAGTCTTTACCAGCAGCTACAGTAGGTTACACACCTCTGTCTGAGTCTTTACCAGCAGCTACACACCTCTGTCTGAGTCTTTACCAGCAGCTACAGTAGGTTACACACCTCTGTCTGAGTCTTTACCAGCAGCTACACACCTCTGTCTGAGTCTTTACCAGCAGCTACAGTAGACTACACACCTCTGTCTGAGTCTTTACCAGCAGCTACAGTAGGTTACACACCTCTGTCTGAGTCTTTACCAGCAGCTACAGTAGGCTACACACCTCTGTCTGAGTCTTTACTAGCAGCTACATTAGGTTACACACACCTCTGTCTGAGTCTTTACCAGCAGCTACAGTAGGTTACACACCTCTGTCTGAGTCTTTACCAGCAGCTACACACCTCTGAGTCTTTACCAGCAGCTACACACCTCTGTCTGAGTCTTTACCAGCAGCAACACACCTCTGTCTGAGTCTTTACCAGCAGCTACAGTAGGCTACACACCTCTGTCTGAGTCTTTACCAGCAGCTACAGTAGGCTACACACCTCTGTCTGAGTCTTTACCAGCAGCTACACACCTCTGTCTGAGTCTTTACCAGCAGCTACAGTAGGCTACACACCTCTGTCTGAGTCTTTACTAGCAGCTACATTAGGTTACACACACCTCTGTCTGAGTGTTTACCAGCAGCTACAGTAGGTTACACACCTCTGTCTGAGTCTTTACCAGCAGCTACAGTAGGTTACACACCTCTGTCTGAGTCTTTACCAGCAGCTACAGTAGGTTACACACCTCTGTCTGAGTCTTTACCAGCAGCTACAGTAGGCTACACACCTCTGTCTGAGTCTTTACCAGCAGCTACAGTAGGTTACACACCTCTGTCTGAGTCTTTACCAGCAGCTACACACCTCTGTCTGAGTCTTTACCAGCAGCTACAGTAGGTTACACACCTCTGTCTGAGTCTTTACCAGCAGCTACACACCTCTGTCTGAGTCTTTACCAGCAGCTACAGTAGGTTACACACCTCTGTCTGAGTCTTTACCAGCAGCTACAGTAGGCTACACACCTCTGTCTGAGTCTTTACCAGCAGCTACAGTAGGCTACACACCTCTGTCTGAGTCTTTACCAGCAGCTACAGTAGGCTACACACCTCTGTCTGAGTCTTTACTAGCAGCTACATTAGGTTACACACACCTCTGTCTGAGTCTTTACCAGCAGCTACAATACGTTACACACCTCTGTCTGAGTCTTTACCAGCAGCTATAGTAGATTACACACCTCTGTCTGAGTCTTTACCAGCAGCTACAGTAGGTTACACACCTCTGTCTGAGTCTTTACCAGCAGCTACAGTAGATTACACACCTCTGTCTGAGTGTTTACCAGCAGCTACAGTAGGTTACACACCTCTGTCTGAGTCTTTACCAGCAGCTACAGTAGGTTACACACCTGTCTGAGTCTTTACCAGCAGCTACAGTAGGTTACACACCTCTGTCTGAGTCTTTACCAGCAGCTACAGTAGGTTACACACCTCTGTCTGAGTCTTTACCAGCAGCTACACACCTCTGTCTGAGTCTTTACCAGCAGCTACAGTAGGTTACACACCTCTGTCTGAGTCTTTACCAGCAGCTACACACCTCTGTCTGAGTCTTTACCAGCAGCTACAGTAGGTTACACACCTCTGTCTGAGTCTTTACCAGCAGCTACAGTAGGCTACACACCTCTGTCTGAGTCTTTACCAGCAGCTACAGTAGGCTACACACCTCTGTCTGAGTCTTTACTAGCAGCTACATTAGGTTACACACACCTCTGTCTGAGTGTTTACCAGCAGCTACAGTAGGTTACACACCTCTGTCTGAGTCTTTACCAGCAGCTACACACCTCTGTCTGAGTCTTTACCAGCAGCTACAGTAGGCTACACACCTCTGTCTGAGTCTTTACTAGCAGCTACATTAGGTTACACACACCTCTGTCTGAGTCTTTACCAGCAGCTACAGTAGACTACACACCTCTGTCTGAGTCTTTACCAGCAGCTACAATACGTTACACACCTCTGTCTGAGTCTTTACCAGCAGCTATAGTAGGTTACACACCTCTGTCTGAGTCTTTACCAGCAGCTACAATACGTTACACACCTCTGTCTGAGTCTTTACCAGCAGCTACACACCTCTGTCTGAGTCTTTACCAGCAGCTACAGTAGGTTACACACCTCTGTCTGAGTCTTTACCAGCAGCTACAGTAGGCTACACACCTCTGTCTGAGTCTTTACCAGCAGCTACAGTAGGCTACACACCTCTGTCTGAGTCTTTACTAGCAGCTACATTAGGTTACACACACCTCTGTCTGAGTGTTTACCAGCAGCTACAGTAGGTTACACACCTCTGTCTGAGTCTTTACCAGCAGCTACACACCTCTGTCTGAGTCTTTACCAGCAGCTACAGTAGGCTACACACCTCTGTCTGAGTCTTTACTAGCAGCTACATTAGGTTACACACACCTCTGTCTGAGTCTTTACCAGCAGCTACAGTAGACTACACACCTCTGTCTGAGTCTTTACCAGCAGCTACAATACGTTACACACCTCTGTCTGAGTCTTTACCAGCAGCTATAGTAGGTTACACACCTCTGTCTGAGTCTTTACCAGCAGCTACAATACGTTACACACCTCTGTCTGAGTCTTTACCAGCAGCTATAGTAGATTACACACCTCTGTCTGAGTCTTTACCAGCAGCTACAGTATGTTACACACCTCTGTCTGAGTCTTTACCAGCAGCTACAGTATGTTACACACCTCTGTCTGAGTCTTTACCAGCAGCTACAGTAGGTTACACACCTCTGTCTGAGTCTTTACCAGCAGCTACAATACGTTACACACCTCTGTCTGAGTCTTTACCAGCAGCTATAGTAGATTACACACCTCTGTCTGAGTCTTTACCAGCAGCTACAGTATGTTACACACCTCTGTCTGAGTCTTTACCAGCAGCTACAGTAGACTACACACCTCTGTCTGAGTCTTTACCAGCAGCTACAGTAGGCTACACACCTCTGTCTGAGTCTTTACCAGCAGCTACAGTATGTTACACCTCTGTCTGAGTCTTTACCAGCAGCTACAGTAGGTTACACACCTCTGTCTGAGTCTTTACCAGCAGCTACAGTAGGTTACACACCTCTGTCCGAGTCTTTACCAGCAGCTACAGTAGGTTACACACCTCTGTCTGAGTCTTTACCAGCAGCTACACACCTCTGAGTCTTTACCAGCAGCTACACATCTCTGTCTGAGTCTTTACCAGCAGCTACAGTAGACTACACACCTCTGTCTGAGTCTTTACCAGCAGCTACAGTAGACTACACACCTCTGTCTGAGTCTTTACCAGCAGCTACAGTAGGTTACACACCTCTGTCTGAGTCTTTACCAGCAGCTACACACCTCTGTCTGAGTCTTTACCAGCAGCTACAGTAGGTTACACACCTCTGTCTGAGTCTTTACCAGCAGCTACAGTAGGTTACACACCTCTGTCTGAGTCTTTACCAGCAGCTACACACCTCTGTCTGAGTCTTTACCAGCAGCTACAGTAGGTTACACACCTCTGTCTGAGTCTTTACCAGCAGCTACACACCTCTGTCTGAGTCTTTACCAGCAGCTACACACCTTTGTCTGAGTTTAGGCTGCTGTGGTGCACATTATAGACGATTTAATTCTCGTCATCTGAACATCGGAGTGTCAGCAACAATCATGCATGTCAGTTCAGTGCACACAGCGTACCCAGAGATGTGGGATACATTTTGTAGACCAGACCTGCTTCTGTCTGTTTTAGGCTGTCATCTCAAAACCATCCATCACCAATTCTCTCTCACAATGACACCAATTCACCCTCACAATGAAATCACCAATTATCTCTTACAATGAAATCGGCAATCTCTCACAATGAAATCAATTAACTCAATGAAATCATCAATTATCTCAAATAAATGGATTCTCTCACAACGACGTCAATCTCTCACAATAAAATTATCAATTCTCTCAATGAAATCAATTCTCTCACAATGAAATCATCAATAATCTCTCACAATGTTTTGCCAGGGGAGGTTACAATGAACATTTACATTTTTCGATGTTTAGCTCTTGCTAGTTACCTCGTCTTTCCACCTTGGCCTTTCCGATAGGTACGACAAAGTCTTTATGCATGACCTCCTCAGACAGCTCGAAGGGAACACCATACATCAACTCATTCTCCAGGAACACCACTGTTGGAGGAAAAATACAAGAAAATGTAGTTTTGATTAGCAAGTGTCACCGTGGTTACAGCACAGGAACTTAAAATGTCTATACCAAAAGGACACCAGCAGATCTACAGTGATTCCCTCATCTACGCTACAGGACATCAGCCTTGGACCTTATCCAATACCGTCGAGGGAGCGGATGTGAGGAAACATGAAAAGGCCAATTACACCCTATTCCCTATGTAGAGCACTACTTTTCAACATATCCTTATGGGCCCCTGGTCTAAAGTAGTGACCATATAGGGAATAGGGTGGTATTTGGGACGCAGGTCATTGCTCACCAGGGTTATCGTCTCTGATAGCTGCTTTGAGGAGACCTCTGGCGTCCTCGGAGTTCCAGGGGCTGACTACTTTGAGGCCGGGGCAGTGGCCGTACCAGGCAGCGAAGCACTGGGAGTGTTGGGCTGCAACGCCTGCAGACAGAGGAACACAAAAAAACATGTTTCACCCCAGGACATTACAACTATCCCAGAAAAAAAATCATCAGAAAGGAGCAAGGTGTCTGCATAGATCAATGCAATCCTGGGGACCCAAAGGGGTGCACATTTTTGTTTTTTCCCTAGCACTCACTTGATTCAACAAATCAATTCATTTTCAAGCCTTTGATTATTAACAAGTATGTTACTGCTAGGGGAAAAAAAATTGTTGGGACACCTTTGGTTCCCCAGAAGCAGGATTGGGAAACACTGGCATAGATGTTTGCTTATTTACCTGCGGAGGAGCCGTTGGGGCCGCGGAACACAATGGGGACAGGCTGCGCTCCGGCTGACATGTAGTAGGTCTTAGCAGCTGAGTTGATCACCTGGTCGATGGCTTGCATGGAGAAGTTCCAGGTCATGAACTCACAGATCGGCCTCAGCCCGGCCTGGAAACACATGGGTGCGTCTCAAATGGTACCCTATTCCCTATGTAGTGCACTACTTTAGACCAGAGAATGACCCCCTATTCCCTATATAGTGCACTACTTTAGACCAGAGAATGGCACCCTATTCCCTATGTAGTGCACTACTTTAGACCAGAGAATGGCACCCTATTCCCTATATAGTGCACTACTTTAGACCAGAGAATGGCACCCTATTCCCTATATAGTGCACTACTTTAGACCAGAGAATGGCACCCTATTCCCTATGTAGTGCACTTCCTTTGGCCAGGGCCCGTGCACACAATGAGAAAGCAGACATCTTTCTACCAAAATCAGATGTAGACATTCAATTGTTTGTGTTTTATTACGTTTAACACTCTATATAAAGGGTTAGTGAAGAGATGCTCGTACAACGATACTTTCTATAGGAATATGACATTTCCATACATGCCATTATAATAATACTAATTGACTTACGAATGCAGCACCAACAGCAATGCCAGCAAAGCCCATCTGAAAGGGGAGGAGAAAATGCATCCGTTATCATTCCTTAAGAGACCATCAGACTGACAACATTCCTTAAGAGACCATCAGACTGACAACATTCCTTAAGAGACCATCAGACTGACAACATTCCTTAAGAGACCATCAGACTGACAACATTCCTTAAGAGACCATCAGACTGACAACATTCCTTAAGAGACCATCAGACTGACAACATTCCTTAAGAGACCATCAGACTGACAACATTCCTTAAGAGACCATCAGACTGACAACATTCCTTAAGAGACCAACAGACTGACAACATTCCTTAAGAGACCATCAGACTGACAACATTCCTTAAGAGACCAACAGACTGACAGCATTCCTTAAGAGACCATCAGACTGACAACATTCCTTAAGAGACCAACAGAAACAACATTCCTTAAGAGACCATCAGACTGACAACATTCCTTAAGAGACCAACAGACTGACAACATTCCTTAAGAGACCATCAGACTGACAACATTCCTTAAGAGACCATCAGACTGACAACATTCCTTAAGAGACCATCAGACTGACAACATTCCTTAAGAGACCATCAGACTGACAACATTCCTTAAGAGACCATCAGACTGACAACATTCCTTAAGAGACCATCAGACTGACAACATTCCTTAAGAGACCATCAGACTGACAACATTCCTTAAGAGACCATCAGACTGACAACATTCCTTAAGAGACCATCAGACTGACAACATTCCTTAAGAGACCATCAGACTGACAACATTCCTTAAGAGACCAACAGACTGACAACATTCCTTAAGAGACCATCAGACTGACAACATTCCTTAAGAGACCAACAGACTGACAGCATTCCTTAAGAGACCATCAGACTGACAACATTCCTTAAGAGACCAACAGAAACAACATTCCTTAAGAGACCATCAGACTGACAACATTCCTTAAGAGACCAACAGAAACAACATTCCTTAAGAGACCATCAGACTGACAACATTCCTTAAGAGACCATCAGACTGACAACATTCCTTAAGAGACCAGACTGACAACATTCCTTAAGAGACCATCAGACTGACAACATTCCTTAAGAGACCATCAGACTGACAACATTCCTTAAGAGACCATCAGACTGACAACATTCCTTAAGAGACCATCAGACTGACAACATTCCTTAAGAGACCATCAGACTGACAACATTCCTTAAGAGACCATCAGACTGACAACATTCCTTAAGAGACCATCAGACTGACAACATTCCTTAAGAGACCATCAGACTGACAACATTCCTTAAGAGACCATCAGACTGACAACATTCCTTAAGAGACCATCAGACTGACAACATTCCTTAAGAGACCAACAGAAACAACATTCCTTAAGAGACCATCAGACTGACAACATTCCTTAAGAGACCATCAGACTGACAACATTCCTTAAGAGACCATCAGACTGACAACATTCCTTAAGAGACCATCAGACTGACAACATTCCTTAAGAGACCATCAGACTGACAACATTCCTTAAGAGACCAACAGACTGACAACATTCCTTAAGAGACCAACAGACTGACAACATTCCTTAAGAGACCATCAGACTGACAACATTCCTTAAGAGACCATCAGACTGACAACATTCCTTAAGAGACCATCAGACTGACAACATTCCTTAAGAGACCATCAGACTGACAACATTCCTTAAGAGACCATCAGACTGACAACATTCCTTAAGAGACCAACAGAAACAACATTCTAAATAAACAGGGTCTTGTTTACCTCTGTGATTGGAGTGTCGATGATGCGTTTGTCACCATATTTCTTCCACAGCCCCCTGCTGACCTACGAATAAACAAGGCCAAAAAAAGGAATCCCATTCAAGCTGTCAAATATGCCATAGATTGTTCAAACAAAGTACATTTTTTAAATCACCTCCCTGACCACGGCCCTTCTCCCCTGATTGCTCAGTTTGGCCAGCTTGCCAGCTCTAGGAAGAGTCTTGGTGGTTCCAAACTTCTTCCATTTAAGAATGATGGAGGCCACTCTGTTCTTGGAGACCTTCAATGCTTCAGAAATGTTTTGGTACCCTTCCCCAGATCTGTGCCTAAACCCAATCCTGTCTCGGAGCGCTTCGGACAATTCCTTCAACCTCATGGCTTGGTTTTTGCTCTGACATGCACTGTCAACTGTGGGACCTTATATAGACAGGTGTGTGGCTTTCCAAATCAATAGAACTTACCACAGGTGGATTCCAATCAAGTTGTAGAAACATCTCAAGGATGATCAATGGAAACAGGACGCACCGGAGCTCAATTTCGAGTCTCATAGCAAAGGGTCTGAATTTCAGTCCTTCACGGCGTAGTGTGTTACCAATTGTTTTCTTGGTGAAGATGGTCCCAGCTGCCTTGAGATCATTGACAAGATCCTCTCGTATTTCTGTTTTTTATAAATTTGCTAAAATTTCTAAAAACCTGTTTTCGCTTTGTCATTATGGGGTATTGTGTGTAGATTGATGATGATCTTTATTTATTTATTTAATCAATTTTAGAATAAGGCTGTAACGTAACAAAATGTGGAAAAAGGGGTCTGAATACTTTCCGAAGGCACCGTATACTTACCTTGTAAACTCCATCATACTGGGCCGCCTCCTCCCCCCTCTCCAGCTAATTATATATATATATATATACATACAGTGAGGGGAAAAAAGTATCTGATCCCCTGCTGATTTTGTACGTTTGCCCACTGACAAAGACATGATCAGTCTATAATTTTAATTGTAGGTTTATTTGAACAGTGAGAGACAGAATAACAACAACAAAATCCAGAAAAACGCATGTCAAAAATGTTATAAATTGATTTGCATTTTAATGAGGGAAATAAGTATTTGACCCCTCTGCAAAACATGACTTAGTACTTGGTGGCAAAACCCTTGTTGACAATAACAGAGGTCAGACGTTTCTTGTAGTTGGCCACCAGGTTTGCACACATCTCAGGAGGGATTTTGTCCCACTCCTCTTTGCAGATCTTCTCCAAGTCATTAAGGTTTCAAGGCTGACGTTTGGCAACTCGAACCTTCAGCTCCCTCCACAGATTTTCTATGGGATTAAGGTCTGGAGACTGGCTAGGCCACTCCAGGACCTTAATGTGCTTCTTATTGAGCCACTCCTTTGTTGCCTTGGCCGTGTGTTTTGGGTCATTGTCATGCTGGAATACCCATCCACGACCCATTTTCAATGCCCTGGCTGAGGGAAGGAGGTTCTCACCCAAGATTTGACGGTACATGGTCCCGTCCATCGTCCCTTTGATGCGGTGAAGTTGTCCTGTCCCCTTAGCAGAAAAACACCCCCAAAGCATAATGTTCCACCTCCATGTTTGACGGTGGGGATGGTGTTCTTGGGGTCATAGGCAGCATTCCTCCTCCTCCAAACACGGCGAGTTGAGTTAATGCCAAATAGCTCCATTTTGGTCTAATCTGACCACAGCACTTTCACCCAGTTCTCCTCTGAATCATTCAGATGTTCATTGGCAAACTTCAGACGGGCATGTATATGTGCTTTCTTGAGCAGGGGGACATTGCGGGCGCTGCAGGATTTCAGTCCTTCACGGCGTAGTGTGTTACCAATTGTTTTCTTGGTGACTATGGTCCCAGCTGCCTTGAGATCATTGACAAGATCCTCTCGTGTAGTTCTGGGCTGATTCTTCACCGTTCTCATAATCATTGCAACTCCACGAGGTGAGATCTTGCATGGAGCCCCAGGCCGAGGGAGATTGACAGTTATTTTGTGTTTCTTCCATTTGCGAATAATCGCACCAACTGTTGTCACCTTCTCACCAAGCTGCTTGGCGATGGTCTTGTAGCCCATTCCAGCCTTGTGTAGGTCTACAATCTTGTACCTGACATCCTTGGAGAGCTCTTTGCTTTTGGCCATGGTGGAGAGTTTGGAACCTGATTGATTGATTGCTTCTGTGGACAGGTGTCTTTTATACAGGTAACAAACTGAGATTAGGAGCACTCCCTTTAAGAGTGTGCTCCTAATCTCAGCTTGTTACCTGTATAAAATACACCTGGGAGCCAGAAATCTTTCTGA